GTGTCTTTACCAGTGTTGTGTAGAAGTCTGTTCCTCCGTTGAAGACTGATGTCTTTCTCCCTGATTTTGTGTTTAGATGGGCGGATACAATTTCAGAGTTTAAAAAAACTCCCCACGTTGCAGAACCAATAGTAAATCCACAGGGCGGTCCTTCGGTGGCTTGCTGAACTCTTGTGCTCGTAAACATAGTCCAACTGCATTAAAAGTTTTAAACAAAGTCGCTGTAAGTCCTTCATTTCCACAATCTTGTGGACTGAGCACACGTTTGATAATATGGAGCTAAATCTCTCGGCATCCATTTTCAAGCTTGGACGAGAAAAGGGGGAGCGCACATTTCCGGGAGGGCGTGTCCTTTTTAAAAATGCAAGAGGTGTTGCTTTGTTGCTGGCCTTTTTCTCCTGTGTGTTAATCACACTTTAGAAATGAGTGTCCCCAGACTATCAGAAGGTGGAGATCTCTGATTGTCTGGTGGCGAGACTATACTTAAGCTAGCTGCCCAGTGTACATTTGAATCTCAGATTTTAGTGAAATGCACAGACATCACCCCCTTCAGAGGAGGAACGTGAAAAAACCTGTAGTAAGGAACTTTGCACAGATACAAGTCAGTATCGTCTAGGTCTAGGAAATTTTAGGAGACATACACATAAGAAAAACAAATTTTTTGAGTAGAGGGATCTGAAACGAACTCTTTACCCATTGCTTTTGTCTTTTCCCCATATTTTATCCAGGTTACATAGCTGGGCAATATGGAGAAAATCAAATATCACTTTTTTTTTTAAACCAAAAATCAAATATTTGAATTTACTGACAAATGTCTGAGAAACAGTTATTGTGTTTCACTCTGCCAAAACAGTAATAAAAACTGACTTGTGTCGCTCGATTTGAGGGCCTGTTGAGGCTAAATTAAATAGGCCTATCAAAACATCTATTGTGTTTTATTGTTCCACCACTTACTTTTCATTATAGTGATAATGGGTACAATTAACGATAAAATTTGACGGTTGTCTTGTCCAACATTGTGCCACGGCAGCACTAAAATACGCTATGTGTTTATTAAGGAGAGAATCCCAGCAGATGTTTGAAAGTAATGCAGAAGTTACTCTCCCTTGTAAATAAATACTTTTATATGCAGTAATTGGTAAATTTCTCCAACTGCTTTTGAGGGAAATAACTAATTACTCATTTTTTTCACTTGCACAACACTGGTCATCAGGCAGTCCTTGGCTTTATATGTTCGCAAGATGAAAAGATTGGGAACCAGTGACATATGGATACACCAAACCTGAAAGTTATGTTGGTTTTCAGAACATTGGTTCCCAGAATATAACTTTACCTCAGCATCTCTCTGCCTCATGGCATGTTAGGTGAATTTGGCTCTTCAAGTTTTTTCCCAGAACACTCCACTCCTGTTCCTCTCATATGTGGTTGATGACATTGCCAGAGGGTCATTAAGTGCCATTGTGGTTCTTCATCTTCACTTTCAGCACTTTGTTCCCTCAGCCATACCTGTTCCACATTAGGTGACTCATATTGTGACAAATAGGTTAAAAACTCGGTTTCAGATGTCTTGTGTGAAGAATGGGGACCATAGTGCAGTGCTGTTGTTGCTTCATCATACTAATACTTTCATTAATGAGGAGGGCTTCAGTCATTTGTTTAACACTTTATCACCTCACTCATCGTCTTTCATCTCGCAAAAGAAAAGTTGTCGAGCTTGTCTGCCGTTGTTGTTTTGCACTAAGCACCTCATTCCTCCGCTCTTTGGTGGTTAATGTCGGTTGGTTTTACTGGCTTAGGTTTCGGTCTTCACAGCGTTTTTATTTTTTTCCGCCCTCCATGTGGTTTGCGCTAGTTGGCCTTCTTCCTCTCAATCTTATCCCACCCCTCCCCTGTGGCTGCTGTGGTGTGGGCAGAGGCAGGTTTGGGTGGGTTTACGTTTCAGCTCAGGCTCGACATTAACCCACCCTAATGCAGACGAATAAGCCGGGGAGGATTACTGAGGCTGGGAAGACTGGGATAGGTTGGGTTTTACTGGACTGGGCTGGTCCCTGCTTTGATTTTTTGTGTGTTTTCAATTTTTTGTAACGATATATACGTTATTTTAAATTTATATAATCTTTATGTTAAGTGGTTATCATATATCTGACAGGTTCTTCAAGTTTTGGGGTTTTTACACACAGTATAATTGTCTACGCCTGATCCCATCCCTGCCCAGGCGGACTGTGGGTAATACACTCGAAAATTATACAGAGATTTGTGGAGGAGGTGTCCGCTACAATCGAGGCATTGTAGCTCAAATAGCTGAGTGTACATTGTGTCATTTTTCTTACAGAGCTCCACAAGCACACAAGGACACACACTGTAAACACAGACACTACACACACACATAAAGTGACTGAGTGTCCAGCAGTGAGTAACATATGAGTCAGAGGTCAGACAGGGTGCCAAGACCAGACAAGGTCAAGACTTCTGCTCAGAGCGAAACCGACAACTCACATCAAAAGAGTCTTTGGAGGCAGCGAGAGAGAGGACGAAGAGATAGATAGAGGAAGAGAGAAACTGAAAGAGGAAGACAATGAAGAAACACAGAGAAAGAATGATGGTGGTTGAGGGAGGGATACAAGAATAAAGACTGATAAAGGCAGGAAGAGTTGGGAGAACAAAAAAAGTGAGTTGTGGAAGAGAAAGAGGAGGGTGGGTGCATTGGGTTAGAGGAGATTGGGGGGGGGGGGCAAGTTGAGATACAGGAAATGTTTGAAGGGACAGAGGGGGAGGACAAGAAAAAAAAGGACCAAACCATGAAACAATGAACAAGAGACGAGAGGCAGACGTGACTGTAAGGCAGTGATCATTGTCTCCCAGCGGTGCCCTGATCTGGGAGGTCAGGCCCAGATCAGCTCTGATGCTGGTGTGTGTATGTGTCACTGTGTGTTGTTTGTTGAGGACAGAAACACCGCCGTTATTCAGTATCTCCACAAAGACACCACTGTATGCTGGGACAGACACCAGGGTCTCAACACTCATCTTTTCTGTGATTTGAAGCTTTTGTCTGTTGAATTCTCTGAACCATACACACTAATACACACTATGTGACAGACTGACTGGGAGTTTGACCTGTGCTACCCCCTGCTGGTGAACATAGGCTATAACCATTACTCAGAACAGTGCCCACGTAGTTAAACTCTGGCTTCTTTAAAAGTTTTAACGTTTTTTTAGTGATATATAGGTATAATATTGTTTCACATTGAAGGAAACAAAAAGGTCCATTTTGTAGCTTGTGATCATCTCATAAGATTAGACTGTCATTAGCTGACAGTTTGCCCAGTTGTCACGAACTGTAGAATGTTTTTGTAAAAAAGACCATCTTCACATTAGACATTTTGACTTTTTTTAAATGAGTTTACAAGCCAAGAACATCCCTCTCTCATCCCACTTTGGATGGAGCTGCTCTTATCTCTAGGAACCAGGAACCAGACCGAGTTTATTAGTGGTTCTAACCCAGAGTTGAGATCAGGAAGCAAAGTCACAGTTTTACACACTTCTCTGAGCTTCCTCTACAGCAGTTACCCACTGGTAATGCCATAAAACAGTGTCTGTACCCCGACCACTTGAATTATTTAAATCTATAAATCTAAAGTAAACAAAAGAGCAGTTGAACATAAACACCTAATAAAAATTCATACCTCTTCTGCTAAAGTGCAACACAACAGGAGAATTAAATGTGGACTTTAAAACATGAGATCTCTGTTATCTAAAGCTGTGTTTGCGATATATCATGTTGATCTGTTCTGTACACACATCTATTTCATGTCTCTCCATCCTGGGAGAGGGTTCCCTCCTCAGTTGCTCTTTCAGAGGTTTCTACCCTTTTTTCCCTGGGGGGGGGGGGGTTGGGGGGGGGGGGGGGGGTTCCTTATCCATTGTGAGGGTCTGAAGACAAATATCTTTGTGTCATATATCATGTCACTTTATTCTGAATGAAGTACATGACACCAAAAATCAGCAAAAAAAGGTGCCTATCCTTGTCTTTCTACTGCTTCTCATGACATTTGCTAGACATTTGCATGGCTCACTGAAAACAGCCAATCAGAGCTGAGGAGTCACACAGTCACACAGCTGTCAGTTATGTCAACTACTGCTTGTCAACTGTGGTCAAACTGTAAACTATGTCAATCAAGATCCTGTTATTATATCGTCTGAAATGTTTTCAGAATCATATTTTAGTGTACTGTTTAGCTGTAAAATGTCAACTGAAGTACCACCGCCCACCGACCGGACCAACTTTTTCATTTAACAGCAAAACGGTACACTAAAATATGTTTCTGAAAACATTTGAGGTGAGAAATACGCAATTTCTTTTACAGAATCTCGATGCGTATTTGATCAGCGCTGCCTAGTTTGACATTGTGACCTCAGTTCACGAGCAGTGATTGACATGAACGACAGCCACGTAAGAGATTCCTCAGCCCTGATTGGTTTTATTTCACATGTGGTAATGCCATTAGAAGCTCTACGAGAAGGGGGAACTTTTCTTTTTTCACAGATCTGTCTCATGTTGTATTGTGTGAATATAGTGACAGTTTCAGCAAATATGAGAAAAAGTTTTTAAAAAGTTACCAACTACAGCTTTTAGGACGTCTGTTATCAGGCTTACTGTAGGGTTTTAAACATCAGCTGTCTTCACTCTGATGAAGACAGAAAAGAAACATTACACTATGACAAAATTAGGTATTGTTGGATACATTGCTTTACTATAATTCCAACAATTTGAATAGTTATTTTCATTCAGTCTATGTCCTGTACTTTAATGTTATGCTGTACAGCCTGAAATCAAGCTTTAGAAAATTGTGATGATGTTTTCAGGCTTCCTAATGAACTTCATAACATTTTTGGATATGTATGTCCTTGTGTGAATGTAATGTTTAAAGTTATTTTGCACTTGCACATCATTGTAAATGTGTGATGCTAAACCCCCTCTCTCCTTTTGTGTGTTTGTGCAGCTGAACTGGAGTTTGTTCAGATCGTCATCATCATCGTGGTGATGACAGTGATGGTGGTGGTGATCATCTGCTTGCTCAACCACTACAAGCTCTCCACCTGGTCCTTCATAACAAGGCAGAGCCAGGCCCGCAGGCACGACCATGCCCTGCAGCAGGTCAGTAACTCTCTGCTTGTGTCTGTGTGTAACAGTGACAGACAAAGAGATACTGTTTGTGTTGGGTTGTGTTCAGTTGCTCTGGCAGGGCTGTTCTTTCAGCATCCATGCCAATAACATTTTGATCTAAACTGATCGTGAGTGAAAAACTGTGCGTGTCTGTCTGTTCATCTGTTCTCACTGCATGTCCGTGTGGAGTCTTTGTGACAGTACATTTCTTTATTTCGGAAGCAGGACAAACATAGCTTACCAGTTTGTTCCCAGTAAAGCTGCGCTGAGCTAAATGAATCCTTTTATCCCAGTCGGAGTCTCTGTCCCAGTTTCACTGAGGTAACAGCTTTGCTCCAGTCTGTTAGGTGAACTTGCTGAATTGGTTTCTTCAGAGCCAGACTCTGTCAAGCCTTGATGTTTAATTCACTACGGTGCCGTCTAGACAGCAGCGGCTCTGCCCCCATACTGACATGTCGACACTCTGGGACAAACACACATAGACGAGCTTGCATATACACAGATTGTAAGATTGCGCCCACTGAAATAGGCTCAGGTACAGAATATGATCCATAAATTATTGGTCTATTGATATATTCAGTTTCTACACCAGTACCTGAAAAACAGATGAAAGCTTTTGTATGCTTGGTTGTTCCATTACATATTATTTATATTCAGCTAATAACCTCTCATATTTTTTTTCTCTCCTCACTCTGCTCTGCACTGTCCAATCAAACAAAAATTATGCAAACAGAAGCAGACACATTGCAAAAAATACTATAAATGCAACATCAGAAACCAACAAGCCGACAAAGCCTTGCGGCAGTGAAAGTGCAATTTGGAAGAATAGCCAATGGCCTTTGCCCCTCACAGACACATAAACTATCAGGATTTATGCATGTTTGTCCTCCTTTTCATGTTCCCTTTTTCTCACTAAATACTGTTGACTGTGCCACCTTAGAAAAGATCCTCAAGTCAAATGTAGACGAAGTGAAACTGCAATTATTTGATAGTTGTGTTTCATGTAGCTTTTATCCTGCTTATTTTTAAGACTGGAGCCGTCTGCTTTTTGTTGTCCTCGCTCCTAAACAGGGCAAGATTTTGGGTTTGAAGCCATCAGGCGCTTCACAGCATCGTTTCATCTGTGTCCTCATTAAGTTGTTACTTTTCAGGGGATTTTTTTTCCTCTTTATCAGTCTTTGTTAAGAAAGAACGTTTGTATTGTCAGCTTAATGGTCTCGCATCAAAAACCATCCCAGACACAACAGACAACAAAGCAGTAATGATGGTTGATTTCTAAAGCTGTATCTGCAACAGTAAATCTAACATGAATGTAACACATTGTCAAATACACATTAAATGTTCAAGAGATTAACTGATGACTTTGTTAACATAAAAAACTAAAGATTCAGTCACGTCTCACGTTCGTAACATGAATACTTGAAAATTGCTCTGAAGCTCAAACATCACTTACAAGCGCCAGACAGGTGTCTAACAATCTTAAAGCCAGCTGGGGACTTTTTTAAATCTGAGCCTTATTCGTTCTTGTTTTTGTTTTGTCTGTCTGGATGTGTAGGATGGGTGTCTGTGGCCTTCAGACAGCAGCTCTCGACAAGGTGCCTCGGAGGTAAGACCACCACCACCGCACTGACCTCTATTAAACCCACAGCTAAGCCTTGTACACTGGGAGCATGCAGACCACGCAGGACGATAGCTAAACTTTATACTTACAAACTCTAAGGACCCTGAACTGTCACTCTCTAAAATCTTATCTAGATAGAGTCAGATGCGTACACTCATGTCTAAAAAGCCTCTTTACAGCACCAAGCTGTCCTCTGCCAGTTTACAAGCCTCAAGAAGTATCATCAGGTGTTGTGTAGGGCAAGACAATATGATCCAAAAAATTATATTATCATAAACTGAATCTTACTGCATCTCAACTTAAGTAAATGATGTTAACTTTTTCATACTAACTTGATTTTCTATGTTTGAGTGGGGTAATTACACTACTACCAACTAACTATTTTGGATTGGACTTTAATTACTAAATAATAGTATTTTTATTTACGCTCAGAACTGAGGATGCATTTTTTTTCCTGGCTTTTTGAAAATATTTATTGTGAGTGCATTATATAATTTTCCTCCATCACAGTCTTTCTTGTCACATAGAGTAACGTACACTTGTTGCAACGGTAGTGCATGGCATAAAGCAAGTAATCGGTGAATGCACTCAAGTAATTTGTCTCAGTAATTTGATAAAAATGGGTTACTATAAAACCTTTGCGTTGGTTATCAAGATCTGGTTCTTAATTGGAACTGGTTCCAGATTTTCTCAGTTCCTCACAACCAAAAACTGATTTTAGCAATATCCTGTACTGCTATTAACTGATTTGCTGATACTATTGCGCTTAAGGCTTTTACTTTTATTTTGAAATATAACATCTTTGCTGTTCATAAGAAAAAAGATGCTGCCCCTTTTTAAAGAGAGCTACCTATTTGCACCCCAGCAAATCCCCAAAAAGGAGACAATACTGTTGTGTGGGGAAAAAAAGTT